TTTTCAGTGGAACTAATGTTATTTCATTCTTTTGTGATAAATATTGTGAAATGATAATAAAAAATGAAGAAGAGACAGAACATTTACTTTATCAATTTTTAATAGAATTAGGACCAGTAATTTTAAATTCATTTACAAATTCAATTATAGTATCATTACTTCCATCAGGAATAAAATATGAATTACTTACTAAAATAAGAAAAGGGGTATTAGGATATGAAGAATCTTTAAATTCGTTTCAAATAAATACAATTGTTGTAAAAGGAGTATTAGAAATATTTAAATTAAGAAGAAATCAAATAACAATTTTACTAAATTCAGAAGAATCAATAACCCAATATTATAGTATTATTTTTAATTCTATTACAAATCTTTATAAAGCATTAGAAGAATGTTTTGAATATTCAAATATGTATTTTTTATGTGAAGTTATTATGAATAATAGTGAAATATTTGGAACATTTGTAGAATTATTATATTCTAGTAGTTATTCCATTAACTTTAATACAATGAATCCTTTTTCATATATAATTCAATTACGATTAAAGTTATTTGAAATTCTACGTTATATATTTAAATCATTAACATGTTATTTAAATCTTTTTAGGATATATATTAAACATTATAGAATAATAAAAACATATGTTGATCTTGTTTTAAAGAAACACCTTCAAACAGACACACTTGAATTTGATGGAGGAATTATTATATTTCGATTATACTCATTAATTATCAGAATTTTATTTATTCAAAAGTCATCAAAATCAATAACATATAAATTAATAAGTGGGTATTTTAAATTACAACATTATTCTTTAGGAGATTTTACTCAAAGAAGATTAATTAATCTTAATAATAATGATATTAATGATTTTGAAGAAGAAATGCCTATGCATATTGATATTAGATGGTTATTTACTGATTCTTATTTTCAAAAAACTACATTACTAGATTCAGAAAAGAAAAAATTATCAAAAACTTCATTATTATTTGCACAAGGAATTCTTCATTCTTATGTATCTATATTAAAATCTTTGAAAAATTGGGATCTATTCTTCTTAAAACAAAAAAAACAAAAAACATTTCTTCCAATACAATATCTATTAATTTATTCATTTGATCCTTTATTTGGTAAATCTCTTGATACATTCTTTCTTCAATTGGTATATTCACAATATAATTTTATTCAAGATATTGATTTAATTCAAAAACAAAATATTCATCAATTATTTGGTTTGGATTATGAAATGATGTTAATATTTAATATGATTAATGAAAATAATTATGAACCTTTAAACGATCCTACAATTAAATATCTTACTTGTATTGTAATGATTTATATTGATATTTCTTATGTTAGATATAATATTATTAATGAACAAGATGTTTCAATATTACAACAACTTAACCCTTCATTAAATAATTATTGTTGGTTTCAAAATGGAAATGTTGTTTTTAATATGAATTCTTCCTTACCAATTATTAAACTCTCACCAACTGTTTTTAATCAAATCCCTTATTTTAATAGATACATTCCAATAATTTATCAAGATGATTATCATCGTATTTGGATCAAATTATTTAATGAATCTTATAAAGAATTTAAAGACCCTTATTCTATTCTTTCATCTCCATTAATTAAATTCCCTTATATTATCGATTCTACAAAAAATCTCCTATTTTCACTTATTGCAAAAATAGATAATGAATGGAAAATAAATATAGAATCTACTAAAGAAGTATTACTTTTTATAAGAATTCAATGGATTTTTATTCATTTATGTAATTGCAAAAATCCTTATGAACCTAACAAAATTTTTTTACTATTAAATATTATCGAAAAAATAATTATTTTTCAATCTAATCTTCTCAATTCTAAAAATATCTCAATTAATCTCACTGATTCAATAGAAATTAATCAACAAAAAATCTTTGAACTCCGTTGTCTCAACGAAAACAATTTAATTAATGTGTATATCATTGAAAGCTTATTAAATGTCTTTCAACATCTCAAAGACTCTATCTCATTAATAAATTCTTAACTGATATTTATGTTTGAGTTCTATTTAAAATTAGAACTCAAAAAAATGTTTTTCTTATAATTAATTTTTGGTTTTTTTTAAATCTTAAGAATCTAAGATTGTTTCATAATTATATCTGAAAAGAGAAAAACAATAACAAAAAAGAAACAATATAATAAAAAAGGTTAATAACAAATAGTAAAAAGAACTAAAAAAAATACCAAAAAGAATTAAAAATAAGAAATGAGTCAAGAAAGTGATACTACAACCTTTGATACCATCGAAGCTGTTGCTCCTCCTATTCAAATTAAGACATTAGAAAAAATTGAAGTTAATAAAATATCAACTGATTCATCTTCATCACAAAAGAAGAATCTTTTATCAGCACCAACTCTTTATATGACAGATGAGTTTGTTGTCAATGTCTAGGTTTTTCAAATGAGATTAATTATCATCAAATTTATTAACCAACCAAAGTATAACTTGAGATTACTTATCTTCTAGAAAAGCTGATAAATTAAAACAATATGAACCGACTGATGTAGCAAAACTAAAAGAAAGAAAACACTCAGATTTTACTAAACCTTTAAATCCTAAAAGTTTAAGTAATTCACAAAACTCACAACACACTTCTTCTGATGAACCAGTACTATTAAAACATCCTCAAATTACAGTAAGAGATTCTGTTCTTAAAAAAGATATTCAATTAATTGATGAAAATGAAAAATTAGATTCTATAAGTGAAATACCAACAGTTATTCATAATGAGGAAGATCCAAAACAAATAGATATTGTTTCAACAGAACAAAAAGGGAAAACCACATCTTCAGCACCATTAGTTGATAATAAAGGTTCTGAAGAAATGGAAGTTGTGGATATTGCAGGAAACGAAATTTCATCAACCCCATTTTCATCACAAAATATTAAATCAACTCCGGAATTTACTATTGGAATAAAAACAAGAGGTCTAGAAAAAAAACAACGATTTACTCGTGTAAGTGAATTAAACAGTTCAAAAGCAAAGAAAAATCTTGCTCAAGAAGAGTATGATGAAAGAGAGTTATCGTACATTTCTTCATTAATTAAAGAAGACGATAAATCACACATAGAAACTATCATTGAAGAAGAAACAAAAAAAAGTCCAGAAACAAATAAAAAAGAAATTATGAGTCAAAAAGTAAGTTGGATGAGTCAAAAATTAAAAAGTCAAAAAAAGAATTTAAATGAAACTAGTGAAATTAAAAGTGGAAGTCAAAAACGAGATACACAATATACAAGCTCAGATGAACTTAAACAAAATGAAGAACCAAAAAAAATTATTGAAAAAGATGAAGCTGTTCCGGTTAAATATGAAGAAAGTTCAGCAGCAAGTCTTGAAGTAGTTGAAAGTCTTGCTGCTTTAACAAAAGGAAAAAAAAAAGAAGAAACAAAAAGAGTAGTTAAAATGGAAGAAACTAGTGAAATATTAGGTCAAGAAGTTAAAGATATAAAAGATGGAGAAACTATTAGAGAAAAAAGGATGAAAGAAAAAGAGTCAAAAAATCAAGAACGAAAGAAAATTATTCAAGAAATAAAAGACACTATTAATATTTTAGATAAAAAGGTGAGTACAATTAGTGTAAAGAAAGAAGAAATTGACCAAGAAACAAAAAATAAAATTACATTACAAATGAGTCAAAAAGTCCCAAGTCTTGGTTCACTTAATTCAAGTCAGTTATTAAAAAATTCTACAAATCAAAGTGGAGAAAAAAAAATGGAAGAGATTGTAGATAAAGAGGCAATGAGAAAAAGTTTAAATCAATTAGATAATCTTCTATCTTCTCAAATTGGTGATGTGGCTGATGCAGAAGATCTTGTTGCTATGCCATTACCTGAAGATGAACAAGAAGAAATAGTTAAGGAACTTTCTAAAGAAATTGATAAAGAAAAAGAGAAAAAACCAAAATTAAAAGAAGACAATAAAGAGAAAGGAAAAAAGAAAGGAATTCTTGAAAGAGAAAAAGAACTAATCAAAGATAATGAAAATAAAACAAAGAAAGGATTAAGTGGTACAAAACAAATGAGAAAGAGTCTACTAAAGAAAGATGAACCAGAAGAAAAGAAAAATATTAGTAAGGCAATGAAAGAAATTAAAAATGAGGTATTAGGAAAGAAAGAGAAAAAAATTAAAGAAAAATTGACAAATGAAATTGACAAAGAAAAACCTGTAAAAGAAAATATAAAAATAAATGAAGGTAATGAAAGTAACAATGGATTATCAGGTATTTCTGATATTGTAGGAAGCCAACCAGTTAAAAGTACACCTGAGTGGGAAGAAAAACCTATTGATAAATGGAAGAAAACTACTACTCAAGAGATAAGTGAACCTAAAGAAAAAAAAGGAAGAAAAAGCTCAAGAGCAGAAAGTGAAAAGAAGTTCAAAACACAAGAAGATACTTCTACAAGTAAATTAAAATCAACATTTTCACCATATAACCCCTCACAAACTCAAAAAGAAAAACATACACAAAAAGGACGTAAAGAAAAAAAAATTAAAATAATTACAGAGGAAAATCAACCAAAGTATCAACAATTGTTAAATATTATTAAAGCAAGTTCTGAGCCAGGAGAAGAGTTCTTTGATATAGAAAATGATAAAAGAAATGAAAAAGTAATTGTTGTCCAAGGCAGAACTGAAGAAACGTTTGTTGATCAATACCAAAGTGGAAGAAGAGTATTACGATATCAAAATATTAAAGGAAGAAAAAGAACATATCCAATATGGAGAAGAGTTAATTACTATGATTATTCATGGGGAATGACAATCAATGATTTCCCAGAATTAAAAAGAGAGGAAGAACAATGGGAAGAACAATTTTATGATGAACAAGGTTATTAATAAAATAAGGTAATTAAATTGAATGATTTGTTTGTCTAATAATAATAACATTGTTAAAGTATTAATAAAATAAATTATTTTATTTAATAAGAGAAGTAACATTATAAGAATACACTAGAACAAAGGGAAAGTTTATGATTATTATATTGTACTCATCTTTAGAGGATATTATATAAACCCTTATATTTGATAAATAATTTCAATCTTAAAAGTATCTTTTTAGAATTTCTTAATAAATGATATTATTTAATTATTTTCAATTTATTCTTTCCTACCTCTTATTAGAGAAGTCTTACAGATTAAAAACAAGTGTTATTAACATTTAAACATAAAAACAAGTATTTGGAAATTAAGACTATTTATTGATTTTTTTAGTTAGTTTTAGAAAGATAATGTTTTAATGAAAACAAGTAACCCACTCCATCATAGTTAATTATTCATTCCAAATAATTTTTTTGTTTAAATAGGTAATAGACATCTCTTTTGAAAACAGTTTTATTGTTGAACAAATATGAAAAAGAACTTAAAAAAGAGAACTTAAACTTAAATCCAATTTAGTTTCATCATGGCACAACAACTTTTAGATGACTTAAAAATTTGTTTAAGTCAAGATATTAACGACAAAAACGTTATTTCTGATGTTAGAAATATTATCAAATTACTTGTAAAACAAACACAACAAGCGTCTAACCAAAAAGATTTTTATCTTATAGATGATATAACGAAAACAATAATTCAGTTTGGTAATTTACTTGGGTATGATTTTAATATCTATTTCTAACATTCTTTAGAACAGTTTCAGTAATGAGAGAAAGAATTATTCTTGTAATTGGATATATTGTAGGTATTTTTTATCACGCACATAATTACAAAGAAGCTATAGATTGTGTGTCATCTTATTTCAATCAAATAGATTACACTTTATTTGTTAATGAAAGAGATCGTGGAATATTTGGATATTATTACGGATTAATTTCAGTTAAAATAGGAAATTACAAAGGAGCAGCAGAAGCTTTAGAAAAGGCATATCTTATTGCAAATGATCAATTTAAGAAACAAATTTTAATGTATCTTGTTCCATTGAAATTACGTTGTGGGATGTATCTTCCAATGGAAGAAATGAAGAAATATGGAAATAAAATATTGATTGATTTATCAAATGCAGTTAATAGAGGAGATGTTAGTTTGTATGAGAGAATTGTTAATAAACATGAATTAGAATTTGTTCAAATTGGAATATTAGAATTGATTGAA